TTCCGCTGTCGATCTACAAGGGTACGTAGATCACACTCTCCCCTCTCGTTGCTATGCATCACCATGATCTTGCATGTGCGTAGGAAAATTTTGAAATTACTATGTTCCCCAACAGAAGACCACGCGCTCCTGCCCCTCGGGCCGAGGCCTCTGCTCGCCATGCGGCAGGCGAACGCCGACGTCTGATGTCTACTACACAACCTTCTTCTTGTAGACGTTGTTGGGCCTCCAAGTGCAGAGGTTTGTAGGACAGTAGAAAATTTCCCTCAAGTGGATGACCTAAGGTTTATCAATCCGTAGGAGGCGTAGGATGAAGATGGTCTCTCTCAAGCAACCCTGCAACCAAATAACAAAGAGTCTCTTGTGTCCCCAACACACCCAATACAATGGTAAATTGTATAGGTGCACTAGTTCGGCGAAGAGATGGTGATACAAGTGCAATATGGATAGTAGATATGGGTATTTGTAATCTGAAATAATAAAAACAGCAAGGTAGCAAGTGATAAAAGTGATCGTAAACGGTATTGCAATGTGTGGAAATAAGGCTTAGGGTTCATACTTTCTCTAGTGTAAGTTCCCTCAACAATACTAACATAATTGGATCATAAAACTATCCCTCAACGTGCAACAAAGAGTCACTCCAAAGTCACTAATAGCGGAGAACGAACGAAGAGATTATGGTAGGGTACGAAACCACCTCAAAGTTATTCTTTCCAATCAATCCGTTGGGCTATTCCTATAAGTGTCACAAACAGCCCTGGAGTTCGTACTAGAATAACACCTTAAGATACAAATCAACCAAAACCCTAATGTCACCTAGATACTCCAATGTCACCTCAAGTATCCGTGGGCATGATTATACGATATGCATCACACAATCTCAATTCATCTATTCAACCAACACATATAACCTCAAAGAGTGCCCCAAAGTTTCTACCGGAGAATCAAGACGAAAACGTGCGCCAACCCCTATGCATAGGTTCATGAACTCGCAAGTTGGTCACCTAACATACATCAAGTGGCACGCGATATCCCATTGTCACCACAGATATCCACGGCAAGACATACATCAAGTGTTCTCAAGTCTTTAAAGACTCAATCCGATAAGATTACTTCAAAGGGGAAACTCGATTCATTACAAGAGAGTAGAGGGGGGAAGAAACATCATAGGATCCAAATATAATAGCAAAGCTCGCGATACATCAAGATCGTATCATCTCAAGAACACGAGAGAGAGAGAGATCAAACACATAGCTACTGGTACATACCCTCAGCCCCGAGGGAGAACTACTCCCTCCTCGTCATGGAGAGCGTCGGGATGATGAAGATGGCCATCGATGAGGGTTCCCCCCTCCGGCAGGGTGCCGGAACAGGGTCCCGATTGACTTTTGGTGGCTACGGAGGCTTCTGGCGGCGGAACTCCCGATCTAATGTCTGTTCTGGAAGTTTTAGGTCACGTAGGTATATATGGGTGCAGGAGGTACGTCAGGGGAGCCACGAGGGCCCCACGAGATAGGGGGCGTGCCCTAGGGGGGCGCCCCTCACCCTCGTGAGCACCTCGTTCCTTCCTTGACGTGGGGTCCAAGTCCATCAGGTGTGTTTCCTTCCAAAAATAACTTCTCTAGTTGATTTCGTTCCGTTTCGACTCCTTTTGATATTCCTTTTCTTTAAAACACTAAAATAGGTATAAAACAACAAATCTGGGCTGGGCCTCCGGTTAATAGGTTAGTCCCAAAAATAATATTAAAGTGGATAATAAAGCCCAATATTGCCCAAAATAGTAGGTAATATAGCATGGAGCAATCAAAAATTATAGATACGTTGGAGACGTATCAACGTTCGTCTGCCGCGGCAGGCGCCGCGTCGCCCGGAGTTGGGTCAGGTGACATTCGAACCCATCCAGGAGCCCGATGGCAGCGACATGATCAAGGAAGAAGAAGGAAGATGGACAGCGAAGGAGTTCTGCTCGGAGCAGCGGGCGCCGCAGTGCGTCAGTTACAAAGAGCGGAGCGAGAGCAAAGGGACAGGAGGGCGCGAGCGAGAATAATGTCCACCGCCCCCCTGCGCCCCGATTTATAACCCTCGGTTTGAACGTGGGGAAGTGGGGAAGTGGGATCGTCTGCACGCGCCCGTCCATTACCCCGCAATAAGTGCGCACGTACATGCGCAGTAACTGCCCGGGGAAGAGCAACCGGCCCCCGGACGCCGCAATAAATCCGCGAGCTTGGGCCGAGGGCGCGCGACGATGGGCCCCAGCCCGTCGCCTGGTCCCGTCATGCGTGTGGCCTATCAGGCCACTCCGACTTCCGGGCACCACGTGGCGCCCGCGCAAAGCCCGTGGGATTGCCCCAAGATTCGGCGGACTTCTCGGCCCCCGCCACGGCCAGGATGCCACGATCCGGTTCCCGAGAAAACCGGCACACAGTGGGTGTTGCTGGACCCGGCGCTCACAGAATCCACCTTGCTTAAAGGGGAAACTACGAAGGCCCACTCATTCGAAGACGGCGGACCTTCACAGCTTCGGGGACTACTGTAGGGGGGATGGATCCCGGGCAGGCAACAGAACCCGGATCCTCTTCAAAAAACAATGGGGCTGGCACCGCCCCTCAATACCGGCACGTGCTTGGCCGGGTCACTCGATCCGGCCAAGCCCCGCAAGCAGGCCAGACTAGCCGACCCGGCAAGACACGTCGACTCGGCCCCAACAACTAGCGCAAGACAGCCAAACCCGGCACGACCAAAGCCTCCTCAACAAGCCAGCGCCACCCGTGGCGTGCTACGCAATCCAGCCGCGGGTCAACTCCCGTCCCATCCAAGCCGTATGATGGAGACGAGACTTCAATCAACGATGACCGAGGCAACAGTGCCCCGCCCATGCCTCTGGTCAGCAGGAACGTGGCAACAGTGCCCCTCACCTACCCGCTGACGACAGCAAGCGGCAACCTGACGGAGAGCACTGTACGTGACTCGACTCGGCCATGACCTGACGATCGACAAGATGGCGCACAGTCCCCCTAGGCATGCGGGGCCCGCACCTAGGGGAACCCGGCGAACCACAAGCCCTTAGCGGGACCCAGCCCGGGTCCCCGGACACCGACAATACGGACCCACCAACTTGTAGCGCGCACAATAGCGCCTCAGAGGAGCACCCCCTCATCATGTCCAATAGCTATATTTACATCATGTAGTCGAATTACTTTTGATGTGTATAAGTGCCATCAAGGATCAATCTAGACCCACAGATATGAGTAAGCTAGTTAAGTGTGCACATGAACGTTGAGGAGGCATGCCAATGGCACACCCCAACTAATAGTATAAATTATTGGGCAGGTCAGTTATGTTCTGAATCAGAGAAAAAGTAATGATGTTTTTTGAATTTTCGTTTCAGGCAATGATGATGAAACATCAGACTTGTCCACAATACCCACATGTCATATTTAGTCATCTTTTGGTCATTCCAGTGTATCAACCAGTGGCGGAGCCAAGGGGAGGTGAGCAGGGGCCTGGCCCCCCTAACGATCGAGGGAACATTTGTAAGCATCGGCTAATTAGCGATAGGATTAGTAGGTACAACGTGCTTCGCCCCCGCTATCTTTATGTAAATTCTGGAGAAAGAAAAAGGGAAGGCCCACGTACAAGCCCATTAGTTAGTTGTTCTCAATGTCCATGCCAAGGCAGATTAGACAATTAGCCTCCGCCAAGTCTCCTGACGCTACGCATCATCTCCGTGATTAGCGTGATTTTAGTTATTTTGGTTTTGTGATCTCTGCATCGCTCGAAAGCTTGGATCCGTCAATGCTTCGCCTAGCATTCGTAAACAGTGATGGTTGTCGCGTACTTGCGAACGACAACCAACCGATCTACTTCGACCTAGCAGTATAGGGGATAAGGAGGGGATGGATTTAATTCTCTAGATATGCTGTCTATGTTGATCAATTTTTGCTAACTAAACAAGAAAATTTCCTAATACAATCAGTGATGATTTGCCATTCAAACCTATATAAAGGCAAACTAAAAGACAACCATTTGCTAATACAAGATTATTCTAGCTAGTTCGTAGATCTCAAATTTTCATCTGACAATATTTTCTAGCATTGGCATTTCATATCGTATTTCAAATTGTTTGATTGTTAACTTCGTCTTCTTGGCGTGTATGTGGAATTGTTGACCAATGTTAGCCATGCTGCAGCTGCAAGTATTTCTTTTTTTGTGTGTCTAGGCAAAGCTAAATGCGAATGATACTTCAATATAAAACTATAAGGTAGTATGTGAGGCACAAAAAACATTCTGGCTTCATCGCCATCCCCGCCCCCGTGTATGCTAGCAGAAGATACCACCAGTAGCAATTGGCCACATTACCCAGCCCAGATATGTTAATTTTACCATGTATTTGTGTGGACAAAATATATATAGATGCAAGAAATCAGTTTATTTTGCGAGTCGCTCACATTTTCATGCATATTTAATTTTCAAACGAGTAGATGTCGGCCACGTCGCCGGCAGAAGCAGCCAACGGCAAATATCGAACTCCCGGGGTCCTCCGGCCAGCAGCCTCAGAAGGCACCGCGCGCAACGGCCAAAATCATCACCCTCCGTCCCCGCTCGCCCGGCGCGGCGAGAAGGAAATCGCCAGGCCAGCGCGCGGCCACATCGGCGAGCCACCCCACACGCGGCCATGTGGGCTGCGGCCGCGACCCACCCCGTCGCCCTCGCGGCTCATCTCCACCGCGCGAAATCCACCCGAACACTGCAAAAATCCCAAGCTCCCCCAGCCCCGTGGCCAGCGCGCGGCCACCTCAGCCACCCCATCCGCCCGCCTCGCGCCCCGCGCGCCAATGGCGACTCGGCATAAGATTCCCCGGGATAAGGACCCGATCGCGCCCTCCCCCTACTTAAGCGCCGCGAGCTCCCGCTTCACTCCACAGCACCAACGACCACCAGCGCCTCCCACTGCCAGCCTCAGCTCACCCGAAGCAAAGCCAGCTAGCACGCAGCGCGCGATGGCGGCCGCGACCATGGCGCTCTCCTCCCCGGCGATGGCCGGCACCCCGGTGAAGGCCTCCAGGGCGGCGCCCTTCGGCGAGGGCCGCATCACCATGCGCAAGACGGCGGGCAAGCCCAAGGTGGCGGCGTCCAGCAGCCCGTGGTACGGCTCCGACCGCGTGCTCTACCTCGGCCCGCTCTCCGGCGACCCCCCGAGCTACCTCACCGGCGAGTTCCCCGGCGACTACGGCTGGGACACCGCGGGGCTGTCGGCCGACCCCGAGACCTTCGCCAAGAACCGGGAGCTGGAGGTCATCCACTGCCGCTGGGCCATGCTCGGCGCGCTCGGCTGCGTCTTCCCCGAGCTGCTCGCCCGCAACGGCGTCAAGTTCGGCGAGGCCGTCTGGTTCAAGGCCGGCTCCCAGATCTTCAGCGAGGGCGGCCTCGACTACCTCGGCAACCCCAGCCTGGTGCACGCGCAGAGCATCCTCGCCATCTGGGCCTGCCAGGTGGTGCTCATGGGCGCCGTGGAGGGCTACCGCGTCGCCGGCGGCCCGCTGGGCGAGATCGTGGACCCGCTCTACCCCGGCGGCAGCTTCGACCCCCTGGGCCTCGCCGAGGACCCCGAGGCCTTCGCGGAGCTCAAGGTGAAGGAGATCAAGAACGGCCGCCTCGCCATGTTCTCCATGTTCGGCTTCTTCGTGCAGGCCATCGTCACCGGCAAGGGCCCCCTCGAGAACCTCGCCGACCACCTCGCCGACCCCGTCAACAACAACGCCTGGGCCTTCGCCACCAACTTCGTCCCCGGCAAGTGAGCGCCGTCAGCTCAAGCTCTAGGCCGACAACTTCATGGCTGATGGATGCTGCTGCATGTGTGTCGTCGTCGATCTCTGCTTCTTCCCGTTCTGAGATTGAGTAGTCCGGACTGATAGATGTTGCATGTGAGGGCGAGTCGAGATGAGGAGTTGGTGTGTGTACACTACAAGATGGTGTTTGTGTAATATCTGGCTATTTTCTCAGATTAATCAAGGCATCTCTGTTCTTCTGGTTAACTACTTGTCTCTCTGAACCTCTCAATGTCAAACACTGAAGTTGTCTGAATAATTTTCTGAAAGTCCTAGCAGCTAAAGTATTCAAATTCAGAAAGACATTTCATACCATCCATAATCCATTTCAAGACTGATCAACTCAACACTCCTGTAAATACAACTTCCATTTGTATATATAACAAAAATGCTCTCCAAATCTGGGGTTTCCTGCGGTAAAAAAAGAAAAAGAAAAATGGAAAGCTAGGACTAGTGCAACTTCCTTCTGAAGAAGAAAGTTACTGTTACTACGTACTGTGCTACCGGCCTTGCAGAACAGTCATGGCAATGGTGTTCCTGCTGTTCGTTTCTCTGGATCTTCTCTTCCATCATTCCGTGGTACCCTGGTTGGTTAGGCGCCGGGAGAGACGCGGATGCCACCACCGACGCGCTTCCGTTCTCCAAGATTGACGCGGTGGGTCTTTTTGATACCCAAACTCTTCTTTGGCGCCGGCGCCGGCGTGTGGGTGATTTTCGGCGCTGAAAAGCCTGCGCCGGTCGGTCATCGATGGGGCGAGGGAAGGGGCCGGGCTAGCTATTCCGGCCGGCCGGCCGGTCATCGGTGACCGCGGCGGGGCGTGGCGGCTACGTCAGACAGGGTCAGTTTGATTCGTGACCTGACCCTCATGTTTGGATGGCCAGTATTGTTTGGTGTGGATGTGAAATGTAAAATATTTCTGCCTGGCCAGGCTTGTGTGATCTGAATCGTTTGGTTCATGCCTGGACCAGGCAAAGCATTAACGTCTCATCAATCAATCCATGTAGCAATTATTTAATGTAAATATCCACCAGACTGTTGTTATCCTCGTGGCCGCACGGCCAGGCGTTCGAATTCGGTCGCCTCGGCAAGGCTAATTGCAGTGCCTGGAGTCCAGCCAGGCTAATTGCAATGCAAAGGAATCCAGGCCAGGCGGGCTTTTTTTTCATAGGGTAGCACCCAAACAAGCTTGCATGAAATTCAGGCACAACTCCAAGCCAGGCAAAAGATGCTCAGGTCGCAACCCAAACTGGCCCACAGTGCTGCGCGGGAAGTGCGAGAGGGAGAGACGCCAGACTTACTCGGCCACGTCGGGAGGGAGTATGTTTAGGGAGATTTATGGAAAAATAGGGAGGTGGCGTAAGATTTTTACTCCACTAAGACTTTTAAGGATCTGTACTCTCTTATGGCCTCTTAGGGGATCGAGTAGAAATGCCCTAGCATGGTAAAGATTTCAATTCAGCAAGACATTCTTATGATCCCTTTCAAGGCTGATCAACTCAGCACTCCTGTAAATACGTCTTTCATTTCTCTCTGTGATAAATGCTCTACAAATCTGGGGTTTTTTCCACGGTAAAAAATAAATGGAACACTAGGACGAGTGCTGCTTCCCTGAAAAGGACTGCTGTACTACCGTCCCTGAAGAGCGGTCATGGTCATGGCGTTCCTGGTGTTCTCGAGATCGCTACTCTGGCTCTTGTCTCCCATCATTTTAAGGTACCCTGGCTGGTTCGGCGCCGGAAGAGACGCCGATGCCACCACCGGCGCGCTTCCATTCTCCAAGATGGACACGACGGACGACATGAGCGGCCTCCTGCTCGGGTCGTCCTCGACGCAGAGGAGCCCGACGTGGATGCAGAGCATGGCCTCGTCCTGTGAACAGCTCTCTGCCATGGATGGATCCACCAGCTTGCCTGCCTTCCCTTCCCTCCACAGGCTCCATGCCTACATGAAGCAATCAAATCAACCATCTGTGTATGCCTTTTGTAAAGATGAATATGGATTTGACCATGACATGGAGTGTGCTGCAAAAGGAAGTTAACTGCAAGTATATGGTTTGGCGTTGTCAGTTTTTGTTCAGGTGCTTACATAGATTGTCAAGCTAGGACACTCCATGATGCCGTCGATTGCGCGTATCCTGATGCCGCTCACGATCTCAAGCAGCAGCACGCCGAAGCTGTACACGTCGGACGTGACCGAGAAGACGCCCTCCATCGAGTACTCGGGAGCAATGTAGCCACTGTCCACACATTACTTTTTGGTCAGAAGAGGTTCCACATTTTTCTTAAAACAAAATTGTACTATTTGTTAAAAAAAACTCAAAACAAGAATAATTTCTTTTTCTTTCCGGGTGTTGAGATAACTCACTATGTTCTGACGACTTTCCGGGTGTTGGCTTTCACCTGGTTGTTGCCGAAGATCTTGGCCATGCCGAAGTCGGCGATCTTGGGGCGCATCTCGGCGTCCAGCAATACATTGCTGGCCTTGAGGTCCCTGTGTATCACCGTTAGCCTGGAGTCCTGGTGTAGGTAGAGCAGCCCCCTCGCCACCCCCTTGATGATCCCCAGCCGCGTCGGCCAGTCCAGCACCGCTTTCTTCGCACTGTCTGCAGCAAACATGCCATATGAAACTTGAGCAAAAACAATGCAGTAACTTCAGTTGTGAATGTGATGAGATGACTTGAGCCCTGAAGACTAAACATTATATGTACCAAAGAGGATGGCATTGAGGCCCTTGTTAGGGAGGTACTCGTAGATGAGCAGCTTCTCCGCCCCCTCAGTGCAGCAGCCGAGGAGGCGCACCAGGTTCCGGTGCTGCAGCTTGGCGATTAGAATGGCCTCATTCTTGAACTCCTCTGCTCCCTGATCCGAGTCCTTGCTCAGCCTCTTCACCGCGACGACCTGACCGCCATCTAATGTTCCCTTCCCAATGGTAAAAGACACAAGTAAGATTTTGAACTGCTTTTTAGCTGTTGAAATTGTTTGACTGTATTTTTGTAGCTAAAAATGATGAAAAGAAACTTTCAGGGGACTGAAAGTTGGCAAAAGTGGATAAAACGTGTACTACCTTGTAGACCATGCCGAACCCTCCGCGTCCGACCATGAGTGTTTTGGAGAAGTTGTCCGTGGCGGCGACAATGTCGGCGAACCGTATGGACGGGAACTCAAGGTCTCCGTTGTGATCTGCTCTGATTTTGCTCGACGTGTTCGTGTTCTCATATTGGCTCTCGGCTTTTCTTCCCTTGGCTGTGAAATTGGTGCTGTGAGCATTTTTTGTGTGTGTGTGTGAAAGAATGATCGAGCATCACATGTTCAGAGTTATTAATAATGAAAAAAATGGAAGAAAATACAACTGTACCTCTGAATCTCCAGAACCATACAAACAAAATGCATGTGAGCAGCAGGACGGATGATAACACCGGCAGGGCTGTCTTCACCCCCCTTCTGCTGGAGTTTCTACCTGTGTTGGGCAGGGCTAACACCGGCACTGCCAAATTTGTTTGGTTTGAATTCGGTAAAGATTCAACAGATAAAAGATGGCAAAAGAAACATATGTTTCTGCTGTACCTGTGGAGGCAGCAGCAACGGGCACGCGGAGGTAGAGCGTCTCGCCGCCCCACCGCGCGTCCATCATCTGTGCGTCGACGAGCTCCTCCGCCCACACCACGCACTTGATCAGTTGGCCATCTGTGCTGCTGCTCTGCACGTTGGCGTACGCGTACGCCACACACGAGCAGGTTGCGGCGCACCTGGCCGCGCACTCCCCCGCGCTCCGGTTGGTGGAGTCGATCGAGAACTTGTCCGGCACCTTCATGCCCGGCATCGCCACGAAACCTATCCCGATGCCGCCGCATGGCGGCAGCGCCTGCTTTCGCCGGCACCCCTGCTCGAACCTGCCGGCGCTCCACTCCGCCGCGCTCGCCGGCTCGAAGCCGTCCAGGCACCTGCACGCCGCCGTGACGTCGCAGTACCCGTACGCGCCGCAGCCACTGTATGTGCTGCACCCGCTCGACGGCCACGACTGGAGCGTGGCCCACGCCGACACGGTGCCGTTCCAGCTGAGGAGTTGGAACCTGCCGGAGCTTGTCACCACACACCGCGTCGGCGCCGCGCCGTCGGAGACGGTGATGACCATGGAGATCTCCTCGTCCGTGCGGACGATCGCCGTGTAGATTACTGTGCCGGCGCTGACGTACATGCTGATCACGGCGTAACTCCTCCAGATGGGAGTTCGCCAGTAGGGGCGCGTCCCGTTCCACATGAGCAGCTGCTGTGACGTGCTGGGGTCCAGGCCGTAGGAAAAGCGCCCCGGTGCCGGGTCGCCGGGGGATCTCCAGGACACGATGCGGTCGCCCTTGCCCGTCCGGTAGCTCAGCCGCATCTTCATCCCCGGCACGAACGTGTCCGTCGGGTGATCGAAGCTCTGCCACACAACCGTGCCGTCCAAGAGCTGGATGAGCAGGTTGCCGTCGTTCCCGAGCTCGGCTGGCGCCGTCTGCGAGGACGAGCTGCCCACGCCGGTCGTGTTCCAGAGCACGAGGCCGTCGGCGTCGGACAGGACGAGGCGGGAGTCGCTGGCCAGCGCGAGCGTCGGGGCGCCGGCCGCCGGGGCGTCCCGGTTGGCCACCCAGATGACGGTGCGAGGCCCGGGAATGCCGTTGTACCATATCCCGAGATACCGTCTCGCCGGACCGGCTGCGTCGTCTGGGGAGAAGTAGCCGAGAGCGAAGGCGCCACCGTCGGACACGAGGGACTGCCCGGCCAGGAGCTTCTCCCCCACGGCAAGCTGGTCCTTGGCCGACGCGCACAGCCGGAAGACGGCGACGACGAGGACGAGGACGGCAGAACGTGACAGGTCCATGGAGGATCAACTTCAAGGTGCCCCGCGGGTAACGAGATCATCACTTCATCAGGAGACTTGATTTTCTACTCCCGGCCGGGGGCACCTAAACAAAGAGAGCTAGCTAGCTACCGCCTTGACGTTTCTCTGGGCGGTACGTACGTACGAGATCATTCTTGTCCGCAAGGCGATGTCGCCATTGTACGTAGCTAACCTGTCGCCATTGTAGCTAACCACACGGTGACGCTACTTTGCGAGTTTTTTTTTTTTTTTGACATGGCTACTTTGCGAGTTCATATTGACTAGTTTCATCATGCTAGTCTTATAGTCTTATTCTGCTATCCTGTGTGTGCGCGTTTCACCTGCGCTAGTGCATAAGAGCATCTCCAATAGATACGGGCTAATGCGACGCGCTAAAAAAAATACAGCACCGAAATAGCGCTTTTGCACGCAGGAAAGAGCATCTTCAACAGACGCGGGCTAGCGCGACGCGCTAAAAAAATATACAGCGCCGAAATAACGCTTTTGCGCGTGGGAGGTTTACCAGACGCACAAAACCACAGCGCCCAACCTGGCGGACCCATGCGCAGCTGCCCGCGCGCTCAAGCCGGCGCCCCAAATTTGCAGCTCCGCTGCCTGCGTGCACTAAATTTGCAGCTTTATTTTTGTGCGTGCTCTATTTTACAGCTTCTACTGGAGCGTTATTTTTGGTCACGCACGCGCTATATAGGAATTTTTTTCAGCACGCGCCTTATATAGCGCGTCTGTTGGAGATGCTCTAACTCGACCTACCTTGCCCAACAATTACAGTTTTATTTTTTAACGCATTAGAGCATCTCCAACGGCCGCGTAAGGCGCGGCGCGCTAAAAAGGCGTTTACAATGTCAGAATTGTGAGTTTTTGCGCCGACGAGCACTTGCTCCGGCGGTCATTGCAAAGTATAGCGTGCTCGAGCTGCTCCAACAGCCGCCGCAAAAAAACTGCATGCACGCTTATCACAAACAATATATGCACTCCAAACACAACCAAAAAGATCAAACACAAACAAAGTAAATCAACAATAAATAGTTCAATTTTATTACTACAACTCAAACAAATAATTTATCTTGCAATACAACAAATAGTTCAACAATACAACATCAATTTTCGGGAAAAAAACAATACAACATCAAACATACAAATCATGATGCTCTTTGTCGGCCATTCCATGCCCACCACTCCTCGATGAAATCCTTCCGAAGATCATCATGCGTTTCAGCATGTCGAATGGCACGATAGGAGGCAACAAATCGGGCCACCCTCGCAGCCCTCCGTCATACTCGCACGGGATGTCCCAAGAGCTCATACTAAGAGTACTCTAAATCTTGGCCACCCTCATTCTCGATGATCATGTTGTGCATGATCACACAAGCGTGCATGATGTACCAAAGCATCTTTTGATCCCAAAATCTAGCCGGTCCTTTCACAACAGCAAATTGGGCTTGCAAAATCCCAAAAGCTCTCTCCACATCTTTCCTAGCCGCTGCCTGAGCACTGTGAAAATCAAGATTTTTCTTACCTTTCGGTTTTTTCAATGGCTTCACAAATGTTTGTCACTTTGGGTAGATGTCATCCGCAAGATAGTAGTCATAGTTGTATGTATGGCCATTTGCTACAAACTGTACCGGTGGCAGTTCACCATTTGCAATCTTATTCATGAGTGGTGACCGATTAACAACGTTGATGTCATTCAAAGATCCAGGCATTCCAAAAAAGCATGCCAAATCCAAGTGTCTTGATCGGCCATCACTTCAAGGATTATAGTGGAACCCTTTTTGGCTGTGTAATTGCCCATGCCATGCCTTAGGACAATTCTTCCAACTCTAATGCATGCAATCTATTGAGCGAAGCATATCTGGGAATCCGCGAGCTTTGTTCATCTCCAAAAGCCTTGCGGCGTCTTCAGCATTGGGAGATCTCAAATACTCCTGGCGAAACACTTGCACAATTCCGACTGCGAAGCGCTTGACACACATGATGGCTTGACTCTCACCCATGGCCAAGTGGTCATCAACTAGATCAGCCGGAATACCGTATGCCAACATACGCAAAGCGGCTGTCACCTTCTGAATGGTGCTATGCCCGAGCTCTCCGGTGGCATTCCTCCTTTGTTGAAAAGACCGATCATGGCTCACCAGTTTCTCTGCAATGCGCCTGAACAACTCGGTGCTCATCATAAACAGTCGCCGGAAGTACGACTCGGGGTACATGGGATTATCCAAAAAATAGCGCCCCATCAATATGTTGTCGGCATCGATTTTATCCCTCCAAATTTTCTTCCGACCCGCAACCGAACCACCGTGCTTCGATTTTTTTACTGATGTGCATAGCTAGGATCATTGTAAGATGGGTTAATTATCCTTTTGCCCTCAGTGGTGTCCATGTGCTCAGTTTTGCCCTCAGATGCGAATTGTGCTCAGTTTTGCCCCTAGTCCATGCACAACTACTATGAAGAGGCCAAACAGCCATATTTGAGTCCATTCCGTCCACCGGCGTTAGTGGTTGTGGGTCCGGAGCTTACACGTGGGACCGCGTGGACATGGGTCCGGAGCTGACATGTAGGCCCGTGCAACTAAATCCCCAAATCATTCGTAGGATTCTAGCCCACTCTGCCCATCCGCCGGCCGGCTGCCCTGCGCCACGGCCAGTACCTGCCCCGCCACCAGCTGCACGGCCTGCTCCGCCGTTACTGTCCTACGCCTACGCTCCACGGCTACCTGCGACGCCCGCCACCTCCCTGCGATGCCACAGGTGGGGCGCCCGCCACCTGCTGGACCCATAGTGCGGTCTCCTTCCATGCGCCCGGGCGGAGCGCTCAAAGGTGGGGGGCTGCTGGAGCTGTTTGAACTAGGAGGAAGAACCCTAGGGCGAAATGGCGAGCAGCGGCGACCCCGGAGTATTTGGCGAGGTAGGCATCGGGTCGGAGATCCGCCGCGTCCACGAGTGGGTTCCCGAGGGGTAAGTCTCGCCTCCTGTTTAGATTGAGCTTAGTTGTGCATTTGAACACTCAATTCGAGTAAGTTTGCCCAATTAGTGTGCTTATTGCGTCTCTGCTTTTCGTCGGTTAGGATGGAGTTGCAGTTTGCTTTCTTGGTGCACATTAGAAGGGACCGGTACATGTTCGATGCAAAGGATAAGAAGAAAATACCAAGGAGGTTCCGATTATCGGTTGCCAATGGCTAGTAATTGGAGTTTCAGACAATTTGAGGAGGTAATTTGTAGCCAGAAAGGTTAGTAATGATGAAGAGCTGGCTACCATGCTTGCTAGGCATAAAGAGAAAGATAATTTTCATGTGAGGCTGCAAGTTGATGTGCTTGAGCAGGCATTTTGACCTAGGATGACGGGTGCAGCATATCAGGGAGAACCAAGTCGTCGTAATGACATCTCTAGCCAGAACAATTCAGTTGGTGCACGGCGACATGGTGGCTCGACGAGTGTGGGCAACAGCAGTAGGGTCCCCCGTGAAGTGGAGCTTGATGACTACAATTCTGGGGTTGATGAAGAGAAGCTATATTCTGATGTTATTCGGAATTTACGACGGGCACCTCGGGCTGAAAACCACGATGAGGCTCACAATGCAGTCCGTGTGGATGATGACGCGGTGGGTGAGGACGAAGACCTTGCAGCTGTTGAATGGGACCCTTTGAACCCTCATATGGAAGAAGGTACAATTTTTGCATCCATGAATGAGTGTAGAAATGCACTTGTGACATACTGCATCAAGGTAGAACGTACTTTCAAAGTTGACAAGAGCGATCAAGTACGTTACAGAGTGCACTGTCCGACTGAGGGTTGTCCATGGAGGCTGCTCGCATCTAAATTGCGAAATAGCACTAATGTTCAGGTCAAAGTGAACCCTTTTAAGCATACATACCAGGAATCAATCCTTAGGAAGGATACAATCAGTAGAGCCAAGTCAAGATGGGTGGCAGAAGAAGTAAAGAAGTGGGTAAAAGAAAACCAGCAAGTGGGTCCAAAGGAATTGCAGAAGAACATCAAAGATAAGTTAGATTTACCATACATGAGGTTGTTCAATGGTAAACAACATGCTATGGATTCTATTTATGGTAACTAGCAGGAAAGTTTTCAATTGTTGTATTCATTCAAAGGTGAAGTGGAGAGGACAAGCCCAGATAGTATTGTAGATATTGATCACCACACCGTGGAGTACACATTCAGGGGAGTGACAAAGACCAAGGAATGCTTTAGGAGGGTTTTTGTCTGCTTTGAGGCTTGTCGCCGGGGTTTTTTGGCAGGTTGCAGGCCTTATTTGGCTATTGATGTCACTTTTCTCACGGGGAGGTTTAAATGACAGTTAGTAGCAGCTTGTGCAGTTGATACACACAGTTTTGTATTTCCAGTTGCCTACGGTGTGCTGGAGACAGAGTCTGAGGAGAGCTGGACTTGGTTTTTGCATAATCTACGTCAGGCTATTGCACATCCAAATGGGTTGGTCATTCATACAGATGCCTGCAAAGGTTTAGAAGTGGTCGTGGACAATGTGTTCCCTGGAGTAGAGCATAGGGAATGCATGTGTCACGTTGCTGCAAATTTCATGAAGAAATTCAAAGGAAAGGTGCATACCGATAATTTATGGTCAGCATCTTTGACTTGCAGTGTGAAGAAGCACAACTACCACTTGAGGAAGTTATAGATGAATCCCAAAATGAAAGAATACTTGGAAACACACCACTCCAAGTTATGGGCCAGAAGCCAATTCAGTGAACTGAGCAAAGTTGACTATGTGCACAATAATCTAGCAGAGTCTTTCAACTCAACGATCCGGAAACTAAAGTGTCATTATGTGGTGGATTTGCTTAATAGGATAAGGATAGAATACATGCAAAAATTTCATTATCGTGCAGGAATAACCGAGGCAAAATTCATGGGCCACATTATCATCCCTGCCGTGGTGAATGAACTGAAGCAGAAAACAATAGGCTTGGAAATGAACATGACTCTTTGCTCGGATACCACAGCA